AGGAGAGCAGCTATACGAAATCAGGCAAGCTGTAATAAGATCACTCGGAACCACACGTTTCTTTTTTAATGGGTTTTGTGTGGAGTCCCGTGGGGGCTTGTTTATCTCTGCAGCCCATTCTACTCCGGTGACGTACTTAGCCCATGCTATAGCGATTGAGGCTCAGATCTCCAGCCACCCTGATGCCAAAGTGTCGAGGTAAAAGTTAGCTCATCGGGCCCACGTCATGTCAGAAGGCTTCTTGCATCAAACTGCGACTGCCAGCCAGAGAGGGCTAGATGCGACACTAGTGAAAGGTGTCGCCGCCACATATGCTGGCAGCTTTAGAACAATCGGAACGAGGGAAAAAACAACGGATCTCTGACACAAGCGGGATTGATTCATTGCCGGCTAACTTGAGCTCAGACTTGACTTACCAAGGGAACACCGTTCTCATGGACTCAAATTTGGGGCACCTAAACTCGAACTCGGACTTAGCCTCAAGAATTTTGGAAATATTGGGGTCGTACTAAACTCTGATTCGCTTTCAGCTTTGACATGCTTAAAAGAAGACATGCCTTACTAGGAAAGCACACAATGTGGAAGAGGCAGCTTGGCATGCAGGGGCATGGGAAGAGGAAGGGGGGGGGGGGGCAAGGGGGCAGCTACACTTCTCACTTGAAACCTGGGGCGCGACGCCTCTTCCAACATTTAAGCTCATGCATCTGCAAACTTTGTTTACAGAAGTCTGGCCGTAACGGGCGTTTAGCAGTAGGTCTCTTAGAATGCCAACCGTTTTAGGCTAACTTTAAGCTAGCTTTTTAAGCCAACTTCTAAGCCATGCCCAAAGCATCAGTGATTTGTGCTCCAAATTTAGCATATTGTCCGGGACTCCCTAAAAACGTTTCTAAGGCACCTAGCAAATATGTTGTTTCTTGACGGAATGAGGATCATCCGTCTTGCTGGAGACTGTCTGCTTCTTATCTTCAGCGTTTTAGACTCCTCTGAGTGTCTCAGGCTCACTAACGGCCCTGAAGGTCTGAAGTTCTGTACCATGAATAAGGACCCCGACCACCCAGATTCCTGGTAACCTGAAGGGCCGGAGGCCTATGTGAGCTACGGGGAACGGCTCGTGGCATAAAAATATATTTAACAGCCGCCTGCGCGAGGAGGCTGAGTGCCCGTTTCGGTTTTCAGGATTGCCTTGTGAACAAGAAACGCAAGATGTTGAAATATCCACTCCCCCTTTTTGCGATGTTATATTTTCTGCTGAACTGCAAAAGCAAGGACTTTTGCAGATCTCGAGTAAGGAATTCTTTGTCGAGATCATATTAAGCACACTACGCGTTCAGACACCCGGTACCTTCGTTTGCGGTATGGAGAATATGCGTTCTTATGGACTTTCAGCGCGCCTTATACTGCTGCATGTCAACATGATTATACGAAATGCAGATAGTTAAACACTGAATAACCTTGGATTGCGTAAGCTGAGTCAAATATGCCACTTGGAATTTTTACAGATTTAATTTTCGAACTTTCGTGAGGTGCATTGACGCATAGTCCGTCCTGATAGCTCAGTTGGTTAGAGTGCCTGCCTTCTGAGTCACCCACCCGTGGCGGGAGGGTTCAGGTCGCTTTAGGCGCTCGCTACTTGCCCTCGATAGGTATGGCCTGCGGCTGGTGGTTACAGCGCCTGCCTTCCGATCCACCCACCCGTGGAGGGGAGGGTTCAGGTCGCTTTAGGCGCTCGCTACTTGCCCTCGATAGGTATGGCCTGCGGCTGGTGGTTACAGCGCCTGCCTTCCGATCCACCCACCCGTGGAGGGGAGGGTTCAGGTCGCTTTAGGCGCTCGCTGCTTGCCCTCGACAGGTATGGCTTGCGGCCGGACGTAGCGGCTGCGTTTAAAGGCACGTTAAAATTTATCCACCAAATTCTGTCGTTGACCATGAATTGCACGATCAGGTGGTATGGGTCAGAGCCCCGACAACATGCACTGCTGAGCGTTAGTTCCGATCTTGGTTGCCCATATATTCAAAGGATTCTTATCAATTCTTTAGAGAGTAAAAAAGTATGTTTGGTTCAAAGAATGGCACACTTAGTTCAAAGAATAGTAGAGTGACTTGAGTAGATATTTTGTGCTGTTGAGAAGCATTTCCAACACCCGTCATTTTTCATCGCTGTGAACTGCCCTTCTAAGACCAAACCACCTCTAGTTTCTGAGTTATACTCCTGTAAAGATGTGCAGACTACTAGATATGCATCAATGACGCCATAATAGCGTCATTTAAATCCTGTCATGCTATTAGACATGCGGCAATAAAGGCCAACAAAAATATGATTGCCGAGTCGTTCAAATCTGGCGTTCGTGAGCACGATTCCAGATATAGCGACCGTTCATTGACTCTTAACCAATGTTGTGCAAGGTGCGATGACGCAACCAAACAGTGACGTACTGAGCAGCATCTTTATTAAATCGAGTAACTGTGTTGACTAGAACAGTTTTTCCGCCTAAAAGCATACCAATATACCAGATTGTCCAGCACTACCCAAGTTTCATTTCACTCTGGAGCACACCGCACAAAACGTGGTGGTTTAATTCCTCGACCCCGTCCCGAAATGTGGTTAAAACCTGTTCCAGTAGCTCAGACGAGTCAGAGCTCCCGCTCTCCGATTCACTCACCAGTGGCGGAGTGGGTTTGAGTCGCTTTAGCCGTCTGCTATCTGTCCCTAACTGAGCTAGCCTGAGGCCGGTACAGCGGCCCCGCTAATGGTCAGGTGACGTCAGGGGGTAGGGTAGGCCGTGCACAGCATTGCAGCACGTTAGACTATTGCCGCGAAGTTCTCCTCTTGACCCGGAATTTTACGATTAGATGGTGGGGCTGGGGTTCACACGACATGCCCTGCTTAGCGCTTGGCGCTCATTACGACATGCCCTGCTTAGCGCTTGGCGCTTATTCTAGAAATACATCCAGGTAAAAGACCTATACTAAATAGTCAAAAACCGCATGTTCGCCTCGATCATAACCAATTACGTTTCGGCACACACCTTGACTACTGTTAAAGCAGCCCTTACATCACAAACGAGGATGGTAGTGAATGTGTCATCTGATCCCCAGGCTGGTGAACGTAGCTATGGTTATGTATTATTCATCGATTATTTGTGGTTCTCGATTTAACAATGCAATAACTTCAGGTTCGTAATGAAGTCGCAGAGAAGTGAAGCAAACAGTCTTTGTCCATGTGAAACTACCGTTTATACAGTGAGTTCGCTAAACTCTCCCCAGCTAAAAGTTAGTTTCGTTTACCAGTGACAATTGTACTTCTCGCACAATAAAGACTGCCGTGGCATTCGAATGACAATTCAATAGCAAACATGTGAAAAAAGCAATGACAGTCATCGGTGATCTCATAGCCGTCAAACAGTGACCGCACAGAACATGATTCTTTGAGGACAAAGACGGGAATCCTGTCAATACCACCACAGAGGACTACGTTGCTACTGCCCTGATACCTTTCTGGGCGGCTCAGGATTGATTTCTCGGAATTGATCGGAACGAGCAGCGGCTCCAGGTGAACGGGGCGACACCGCACCCAGCACGTGTGCGGCTCGCCCGATCGTGTTCTCTGGATTAGTCGGAGAACCATTCTTTTGTGATGCACACCGGCTTAAGACTGCCGTGCTGCGGTTTCTCACGCGCTCGGCCTGTCGCTTCTGGACTGCATGCTGTCGGCTCACCTCAAGAACCACGTCCAGATGGGCAAGTCAGCAAACCTGAAGAGCTCAATGTCACCTTTAGACTTGAAATGGGACCGCCTTTTCTACATTCCTTTGCCCCGGTTTTCCCTTCTGTCCACGGTATGGGGGGGGGGGGGGGGCGGGTGGGCAAGCATTAAGGGTGTTCAAGTTGACATTTGGGGGATGCTCAGCCCCTCCCAATGTCCAGTACCCCCCCCCCCCCCTAATGCTCGTCCGACGCGCACCTCTGAATCCTATCGACGCATGTGAATTTTACACGCTCAGCAGGATTGCACGTCGGCATTTTTGATGGATCCTGCGCGGAGGAAATCGCACGACATGGTGCACCCGACCACGTTATGCGTTTCTCAACGTTGACCCCAACTTGACACGGCGTGCTGAGCGTCATAATGAACGTACTGTGAGTGCTTTCCATTCAGGGACACTTTGAATCACCCTGCTGTGGAAACAGTTTAGCTTCGATACGTCTCATAGCCGATAAATCTCGCGTTGAATGCTTGAACGTTGAACGCTTGAATGCTCGCGTTGAACAGAATATTTGAGCTTGCTTGGCTTGCAGTCGGCAGCCAGCAGCGGCATAATAAACTTGGAGGTGTACCGACCACATAAGCACGCGTTGACTAGAAAAAACTTCGTTGAAAAGGGCCATAGTGCTAGTGTGTTAAACACAGCACCACAAATGACCTGAACTTCAGAACGCGTCATCAGTCGCCACCATGTCATGGTATCTGTGGTCTGACTTATCGAGTAAACTCATCTTGGGCTGCACTACACGCAATGAAAGGAAACACGCGAGCCATACGTTGAATTCTGATCTCAGGCACCCAGGATGCAACGCATTGAGGGATCAGCACGAGCGTGTTACATGCATTGCAAACGTGCTATATTTTGTTGACTTAAATAATAGTTAGATGGGAGTTGGATTTCTTTTTGTTTTATTCTTGGTATGATATTACGAGCAATGACTTCACACGATGACCACGTTCGTAACTCAGGCAAATTTTCGGCCTGGATAGTAGTAATTTGAAAGTGCTTGACAACGTATTTCCATATTGTCTCTCTCTAAGTTCCATAAGCAAGCTGATGTGAAAAGGCACCTCGTAAAAGTTGCAGCTCGCTGACATCTCACATCGGGTAACAAAATAGCCATTCTAAGTTGACGCATATAAACACCGCAGCTTTGACTTAGGCGGGTGCCTGTCGCTTACTGCCCGCCCAAAGCAGAGCTCGCTTGTCTGACCCAGGCGCATTTCTTCCTTGCAGATAATGGCGCGTTCCAGCCGGGCATGGAGCCGAAGCGGCAGCGAACGGCTTACACGCGTCACCAAATCCTCGAGCTGGAGAAGGAGTTCCACTTCAACCGCTACCTGACGCGCCGGCGGCGGATAGAGATCGCTCACAGTCTCTGCCTCACCGAACGGCAAATCAAGATCTGGTTCCAGAACCGGCGCATGAAGTGGAAGAAGGACAACAAGCTGCCCAACACGAAAAACGTGCGTCGCAAGACGAACCCAGCCGGTGTGACGACGACAATCCCGCCCAAGACGGCAACCACCTCCGCCAGCGGCACGCTGCCGCAGCAGCAGCAGCAGCAACAGCAGCAGCAGCAGCAACAGCAGCAACAGCACCAGCCGCCGCCACAGCAGCAGCAGCCGGCGGCGCCGCGGCCACCCCCGCCGGCGCCCGGGCTGCACCCGCTGCAGCACCCCATGGGTGCGGGGCCGATGCCGCACCCAGCCGCCGTCAAACCCGAGTACGGCCTCACAAACCTGTAATTTCGTGACTCTCCCCGTACTTAGCTGTCAGTGTGTGTTCGTGGCGCGTAGCCCGGTTCCTAGCGGCGCGGTGGCGCCGTGTGGCAATACACCGCAATAGCTGGCACCGCGCCGGCGGGCGCCGCGGCTGCCTCTTCAGGGATTCGGCATGGGCCGGCGCCCCGCCTGCCGTGCGATACCGACGCTGCCCGCGCCGCTTCGTGTGTAGCAATAAGGTGGGATTTCGTACGAACCAAAGGTTACATTGTTATAGTTTGTATTTAATTTATTTAGATGCTTTACGTTGTCGCGCCGCCGGCCTGGCGGCGTCCGACTTACTGCTGTGTTAGCCAGGCGCGCGGCGGGCGCCGACTCGTCGCCGCGACCATGACAGTGTTCTAGACTGTGCAGAGGACCGCGCCGCGCCCGGGCCGACGAGGCGCCGCCACGGCAGCAGGCCGCGCCTCGGTCAACGCGAATACTCGAGAAGCCATACTCAATCTCAGGGATCCCCGTCGTTGGCGGAGCCGGCGGCCGCCCGCCGCCGGCGCGCCGCTCGCGCGCCCTCCGCGGGCGCCGCGCGTGTCCGGTGGCAGGCGGCGCCTTCGCGGCACGCGCCGGCCAGCCTGAGCCGCCTGTCGCCACCGCCTGTCGGCTCCACGTGCGCCGGCCGCCACCGTCTCGCCTTTCAAAGCCGCGCGCGACCTTTGGCGGGCGCCGTCGAGGGCGTCGGCGGCGACGGCGTGTCGAGTTCGGTCGAGGGCGCGCTGCGAGCCATGCCGTCCCCGCGCCCCCCGCCAATGACGCCGTGGACTGCTACCACCCAGTTCAGCTGTACAGATGTAAATAGCTCAAACCAAATGAGTGTTGTGAGTGTTCGTGTGAGATTTCTCGATCGGGCTGCTGACGATTTTGTAGTAATTTGTTTTGCCTGACCTTGCGTTCGGAGGCCGTGTATGACGTGTTTAGCAGTATTATTTAACAGGCAACCTAGTCGTGATGTTCTGCCTTGGCGTAGAACCCTATACTCAATTGCTATGATTCGTTTTCGCCGGATGGTTATTTGGACCTTCTCACGCATGCGTACTTGTCAAATTGTGCTAACGTACCGTCTGAGATTGAACTGTTGAGCAAAACGGGTTATGAACTGCAGTAGACGAAATGTATCTATAAAACGCCGTAAAAATATTCGACTGTCTAAGCTTTCGGAGCCGAGACGATTGCGAAAAAGGAAGAACAGCTGACTGCGTGCATCGCCCATCGGAAGCCAAGCCTCGAAGCGAGCCTCAAGCCTCGACGCCATTGACAATGGGTTGGCCGCGCCACGAACGAACATATAATACCATCCCCTGGGGCTGCTGGACTGAGCAATGGTAGCTGACAGACACACGCACCGCCCTAGCCTTTTGTCGGTAACCGACTGGGCCACGGTCGAACGTGATGGCGCCACGGCGGACTACCGATGACACCACTAGCCTTACTAGCTGTAACGGACAAACACGTACGCCACAGCCATGCTCCCGTGACGCTGCTGGGGTACTACTACGGGCCCATGGCTGCCTGTTGGCGACACCGTTGACCTGCTCGGGACCTAACAAGGACCGAGGAGTCCGCTAGTAAGCGGGACCGGCCGGGACATGGCGGCTGCCATCGGGGCTGCCCGTGCTGGCCGGGACACAGCGGCTGCCATCGGGACTGCCCGCGCTGGCCAGGACACAGCGGCTGCCATCGGGACTGCCCGCGCTGGTCGGGCGGGACACAGCGCGTGCCATCGGGACTGCCCGCGCTGGCCAGAACACAACGGCTGCCGCGCTGGCAGGGACACAGCGGCTACCACCGGGACCGCCCGCGCTGGTCGGGACACAGCGGGTGCCATCGGGACTGTCGGTGCTGCGTCCCCGTGTTCATCGCTGCAGGGTCCAGGGGCGCGGGCGCCACCGGGCCGCCCCACTGACAGCAGCAAGCAGCCGGCCAGGGCGCGACGGCATCGACATCGGCGGTCATTAATAACCTAACTCCCGACCACGCTGCAGGCGCCGTGGCAGGGGGGAGGGGGGCGAGACAGCTGCTCGAATCACGCCGCTGGGATCGCGCGGATCTCCGCCGACCTGCAGCGGCCGTGGCGCCGATTATACCGCCAGCGTGTGCAGATAACCGCCATCCTCTGCTCACATCGCTCCACCTGCCCACGTCCACCACCCCCGTGGAGGCCGAGACAAGCCTCGACGCCGGCCGAACCCACTGCAGCGGCTGCAGTCGTGCTCGGCACGGCGTGTGGCCCTGCGGCGCCGGCCCTCACCGCTGCCGTGACGTCAGCACCGGCGGCCCCTGCTCGGGCTGGGCCGCGCCTCCGACGGCCTGACGAATCACCGCAGGGGTGGCCGCGTCCACCCGCCCGCTGCCGACTGCCAAGAATGCAGGCCCACAGCGCTGCGAAACACACGGCGCTGTTTATTTCTGCGCGCGAGCGGGCGTGGGTGTTCCTGTTTGTCCGCCCGTGGATATGTATGTGCCTGAGCATGTGGGCAGGCGTTGTGCAAGAGCTGGCAGCGTTGGGTTCAGACACTGCCAGGTGAAAGCGTTACGTACGATATTAACGGGAAGAGTCTAGAATCAACGAGGATTTAGGAAACAGTTCGTTAAAAGAAGCTTCTCGTAGGTAATGTTCCTCGGGTTTTTCTTTTTTTGTATGTGCGTGCCTTCTTTGTGTAGGTTGGTTAAACTCTCGCATAGTTTTTCTTTTTCATCCTGCATTGCCTGGCGTAATTTTCCATTCGTTGCCTTATCAATCTCTATTTACCCTTTGCTTTCTCTTAAATTATCTTTCTCTTTCCCTCTAGGTTTCTATTTCTGACTTTCGCTGCCTCTAATGTTTACTCCTTCCTGCATTGGATTTAACGAATAAACCACCGGGTTTCCCAGTCAAACTCCTTTCTTCTCGTCGCGCCAGTGGTGTCCGTCGCAGCCCTGTCTGCCACTGACTGTCTCGGTAAATGCGTTGCCTCCCCGGAGAATCGAATCCAATTGAAGACGACAATTTTTAATTAAGCACCCGACTCTGAGATTAATGACCCTGGACTCCAACTTTTTGCGTGGCCCGTCAGAAGACCCGCTAATCAGCATTCACGATATTCCCAACGCCGTCTCCCGCTCACCCCTCCGCTCAGCCGCCGCGCCCCGAGGCGGGTCGAATGCAACGCACCAGGAGCCTGCGAGAGGCGCGCACGGACCACCGCTCTCGAAATAACGCCGGCGGCGGCCGGCGCGGCCGTCAGCGGCGCGGCCGTCGGTGTCGACGCGGCCGGCGGGGCACCATCGTCGCCGACGGCGGAAGGGTGGCGTCATCGTCGGCCCGCAGGCGGCGGCGGCGGCGGCGCCTGCCAGCGACGCGCGCTGATGCGGCAGCGACAGGTGCAGCCGGCGTCGCGGGCGAGCTGCCGACGCCGCGCCCGTCCGTCCGGGTCCTGGTCCGAGCAGGGCCTGGTCCCACGGTCCCAGCGGAGCGCGGTCCCACGATCCGAGCAGGGTCTGGTCCGGCAACCCGAACACCACTCGACTCTGCAGCCAAAGAGGGCACGGCTCTGCTGCCTGAGTAAGGCACGGTCCAGTGATGCGATTAAAACATGTGTGATCTGTGCAAAACATGATCCTGATCGCTTCAAAACATGGCGCTGAGCAGACCAGTGGCCCTGGCCCAAGCAGCGCATGGTGCATGGTCACCGTGGTCAGAGCCGAGAACTGGGTGACACTATGGCACTGGGTCCGATGGGCCGCGATTCTTGCAGACAGCCGATGGCTGCAGGCTGCTGCAGAGGTGTCTACCGTCGGAGCTTACGCGAGCTGTTTGCAGACACGACCTCGACGTCAGACTAACGTCTCGCCGGAGCGCGGGCTGACGAGAGTCAGCGGTGATGATGATGATGACCATGCATCCGTCTCTGAAAGGGGCCGACAGCTTACTCGCACCGCGCAAATGAGGCGCATTGGCATTCGTATACAGCGTCGCGTCATCGTCTGACATAGTATCTCTCACAAACACACACGTGATGTAAGCGCGCAGGCGACATCACCAGGCCCGGCTTCGGCTCCGCGACGGCACGCCGCGACAGCCCGCAGTCTCGAGCGACAACACGCTGCGGCAGCCTGCAGTCTCAAGCGACACCCTCGCCTTCCGCCCGGCCTGTCGCCCCGGTCGGCGCCGTCGCGGCCGGGGGAGCATTTTTAGCGGTTGTACACAAACTCGGTTAATTACCGTTATCCACAATTAACTGACAGCCCGCACCCGGGAATTAATCTTCACCAAAACGGCGCAGGCGGCCGACTAATTGAATGAGACTGATGTTTGCGCCCGGGTGGCCGGCGCGACCGAGGGAGCCGTGCTGCTGCCGGTGACGAGAGGGGCGCCCGTGCAGAGCCACCGCCGGCTCGTTACAGAGGCAGAGCAGACCCTGCCCTATCGCTGGAGAAGTGTGAAGCTCTTGGCGGCAGGGGTGTATTTCGTGACTGCTCTCGTCGGCTCTCCGCCCAGCCAGTGAGGACCACTGCCAGCTTTGTACGTCATTGCCGGGAGGGACGGCGGGCACTGCGCACCATTTCTTGACAGCGCTAATTGCTGGGAGAGCCTCAGCTGAATGCGGATCATGCACCCGAGTGGATCGCTTCTCAACAATGACGCCTTTGTTCAGCGCGTGGTTCGGGTGCAGTCGGGGTGACATCAGAGTGACGGGCAGCGCTCGCGCTGCACAAAGCTGCGCAGAGCACAGCCCGCTGAGGTGAGGCCGTCTCCTTTGCTGCGAGGTGCCATGCCGTCCTGGCAGCATGGGGACGTGGTGTGGCGAAGAAAAAACATCACATCTGGTGTTTTTTTGTCGCAAATA